CTCCTTTTTTTTCTCCTGTAAAAATGCTTCTCTCTCTCCACCGAGGCACCAGTGACTTTGCCCTACCAACCCCATATCTCACTCATACAGCACCTCTTGTGTCCAAAGTATCTCAGTTTCCCAAATACAACCCCAATTTCTTTGTGACCTAATGTCAACTATCTGTGAAAAGGACATCTATGTAATATGCTAATTCATGCAAACATTAGACAATAATTATTAATACACCTATAGCAGAATACCGTTCTTTGAAACACTTGACCTGTTTCACTGAGATTTGACAAAAATTGGAGGAAAGTATTATTTCTTATGATTTTACAGATGAGGAGACCCAAAGCACAGAAAGATGAATTAATGGCCCAAAGTCCTAGAGATAGTAAGTGGCAGATCCAGGGTGACTGACTTTGAACTTTCTTCTGATCAACACACTACATTGCTTTACATACTAGTTTTATGGGTTTGTCCTTCCAAAAATATTGGACTGTAAGTGGTGTTATATGTAAGAAGTCGTATCCCACCACAAAGGAATCGATATCCAATGGCAGGATTTTATTTATGTGTGACAGAGGGAGCTGGGGACAAATGTCCATCTTAGAATTTCACCAATTGCACCATACAGGCCAGGGCCTTCCCTTCCAACACATAAGACTAGATTTTGCAGGACACAGTGATAACACAGCTGTAGAAATCTTAGTGGAAATGAACTTTTAAAATAATCTAACCAGGGTTGAAGCAGTATAGCTCAGTGGTATAGTGAGTGCTTAGAATGGATGAGGCCCTGGTTCAATCCCCAACACCAAAAATAGAAAAAGAAAAGAAAAGGTCTAATCAAACAGTAAAGAAATCAATTTTCAGAAAGCGAGGATGAAGTGAGGGAAAGGGACAAGTTCCCTGTCTCTCTCACCACAGGGCACACACAGTTGTCTTGCTAGCAGCATCTAATCTGCACTTACCCAGGAAGATGAAATTGGTCACTTGAAGGTGTTGATTCACTGGAAGACCTTCCTAGTTTTAGACAGTGGGATTATTCAGTCAAGGGCCAACTGACTGATGGGGCATCTGGGCAGAACTAAAAGAGTGACAACCTTTTAACAGGCTGTGGGTAACTCTTTTGAGATTGGCTTACTAGGTCTTAAGTCTCAGGGACTTGGAAAAGAGAAAACACATTTCAGGGTGTAGACTCTAAAAGGGTTCAGGAAAAGTTCTTCAGAGATAACCATAAAGTCTAGATTTTTCCACCTTCAAAAATGTGAACTAGGAAAATGACATTTCTAATACCAATATAAAGATCTCATCAAAGTAGAAAATCAGAAAATGGGCATGTCCCAAGTTTTTGAGTTAAAGTATTTTCTTTTCTTCCTTGTTGTTTTTCTTGGCTTGACAACTGATTGAGTGTTTAACCTCAGAGGTTTAGAAAATGAAAATTAAGGTCTTGCTATAAAATACACAGCACCACTGGTAGTGCTCTCTCTCTCTCTCTCTCTCTCTCTCTCTCTCTCTCTCTCTCTCTCTCTCGGGGCTTGATATGGGGTTCAGTACACTGGGAGGGACTTGACTGAATGAGATGGAAATGGTAATTACTACATTGGGATTCCAGATTGACTCATATGCTCTTATTTTTAACAGCTGTTTTTATTTCCAACCCAAGGAAACAAAGAGATGGAAGAAAATGTGGTACTGTATTTGGACACAGGATTCATGGCCATAATCCCTGGCCAAGGAATGAAGTTTTAAATTCTTCATGTCCTTTTGAGAAGAATAACTTTTCTTATTTCTTCCCCTGCTGACCTCAGTAACTGGAGGAGATATTGTAAATCCTGTGCCTTCCCTTCTATGTCTACATCAAAGCAAACAATGACACTCACACAGATGGCTGGGTAGCTGAAGATGGTTGGAAAAAATAACCAAAGAAGTGGGATTTGGAGACAATGATATGGGTATCAGAGAGAAGTCAAAGAAGGAATAAAGGAAGAGCTAGAATGTAACAGTGGTGTAAGTCAAGCACCCTACCATAAGGAGAGAAGAAAAGCATTAGTGATCAGATGGACCACAAAAGAAATCATAGTCATTGAGTGATGAAGCCTGAGAATACCCACTCTTTACCGTGAAGACAGACAAACTAGATTTTAACTGTGCCCTTTCCATAAAGGGAAAAAGGACCTAATCTATTGATTTATCATTAGATTTTCAGCTTGTAAGTCAAATAAATAAATCTATTTATACCAAGCTTTTAGAACAAATTTGTCACTAAATTGCTTCATAAGTATCTGTTCTTACGGCTATAAACAAAACTCAATGGCAATTGCCGGGTCATTAAGCATATAAAAAACAAAGGTTTGCTTTGCAAAAGACAGAACTACACTGCAATAGTAATATGATCTTCATTTCTCTTAAATTGTTTTAAAAGGCATTGCTGAACTCAGTCAGAATGTACAGGTGTTTGAGAGAAACCAGATTATCAGTTATTTGATCAACTTCCTCCTGCAGATCTCAAGGGAAAATTCCAGGTTCATAATCACCCTCTCTTTCCAACAAGCAAACTGAGAGTTTAGTTCAGTGGCCCCCAGGATCAAGAATGGATTTTGGTTTTCAGGCTTCCTCCTTGCAAGCAGACTCAGAAAAATGGCAGATATCAGCCCAGCATGCTGTAATTATGAGGCCATTCAAGGAGACAGATGTCCCTGGGGAGCAACTGAGATATCATTAAATTCTGCTCCTTTATTTTATGGATGAGAAAACTGGGACAAAAAAATGGTTAATTTTGTAGCTGAAGGTCACACAGCTGGTCAGTATTGGAGCCAAGAGTTGAAAAAGCAGCTCTAGCATGTCATAAGCAGCCTTGGCATTCACGCTAACTTAAATCATGGACTATGGGAGTTGGAAGTGATCTTAAAGGTCACCTCCCCCAAGCTCTCCTTCCACATTGGGATCCTTCAGAATCCCAAACACTCATTTTGGCCTTGGCTTGAATATTTTCAATAACAGAAAGCTCACAATTTCATGAAATAGCTCTTCCTGTCAAGAACTACTCTAATTATTTGAAAATTTTTTCCTTCTATTGAGCCAAAATACGTTGCCATGAACTCTGTCTCATTAATCCCACTTCTCGCTTTCAGAGCAAAATAGGCAAATTTACTCCTCTTCCATGCGGTAATATATAATATATTTATATACACATATTTACATTATATTACATATTACATTAAGGAAAAGGGAGGGCCGAAATTAAATGTATTTAATTTCGGCCCTCCCTTTTCCTTCCTCCTTTCAGTGATACATTCTAATTTATCAACATCTTTCTTAAACTTAGTCCTTAGAAATGACTCCATGATGCTGGATATTGTCTGACTAGTGCAAATTAGATAAAGTAGAAAGATTATTTTCCTTTTTTTTTTTGATCTCTAACCTCTTTTTTAATACAATAAATTGTTGACTCATATCTTTCCTGTATCCAATAAAATCCTTACATCCTTTCATATAAAACTCTTGCCAATCTAAGCCTCTCCTAACTTGTATTTCTGCTTTTGACTTTGTCGGATGGATTTTTAACGCTATCCCTATCAAATGACTACTTAGTGTGCTCAGCCCAGTCAGCCAAAGCCTGCCAAAATCATTTAAAAATTGTGATTCTGTCCCCTAACCCTTCTTTTACCTCGGTATTGTTAGAAAATTTGCTAGGTTTGCCTTCTATGTTTCTGTCACTGATCACGGATAAAACATTCCCCAGATCAGGGGCACAGACTGAGAGCCCTGGGAAACAAAGTATTTTGGGAGACATGTGGGAGACACATTTTGGCCATTCATCCAACAGTCCCATCCCAGGACCGAGAAATGTCTAGGAATGCACTGTTCTCCTTTGTCTCTCCCTATTTCCTCATCCACACAGCTGCATGGAAAACTCATATTTGGGAGATATGATTAAAAACTTTGCAAGCGAAGGAAAGCTTCTCTAGGCCTCTTGGGGACAGTTATTCAGGAGGCCAGCCAGAGAGGCATCGCTTTTGGTTTTTTCCACTTATACAGATTTACAACATGTCTGAGTCAACCGAAACACCAGAGCTCCTAGGCCCGTGGAGTCGATGTAGACTGCGACCCTGGCTGCTGTGTCAGGACCGGGTTTGGAAGCTGCCTTGTTATTTTATTTTATTGGTAAACCATGCCAAGCCATGTTAGCTGATCCGCCTGGTGATTTGTGACAGTTATGTAACAGCGTTACTCACATCACTGCTATGGCTTCTTCTCACTGATGTACCCATCGCCTAAAGCATCTTTGGCTTCAGGTTTTACAGCACCCTTCCTGGGAGATCGGCATTGAGGCTGCGTGCCCCAATTTCTTCTCCAGATCTATCTTTAGATCTATCTTTTCTTGAAGGTGTGCAGGGGATGGTGACCAATACTGAGTAAGTCCCTGCCACACATCAGGAACCATGTCTCATGATCCCAACAGTCCTGCTAGGTAGGAAGTAACATCTCCACTTCACAGAGTTGCAGGAAGACACAAATGGCTTAATTTAGTATGTAGTCAAGCAAGGTCGACTCACCTCCAAATCGGCTCACCTCCAAATCCCATTGTGGTTTAACATTAAGAGAACTTTTTGAGACGATTTTTAGATTCATATGCTATTGTAAAAAGGAATACAGAGATATCCCACATACTCTTTACCCAGTATCCCTCCTGCAGTACAATAGCACAACCATGAAGTTGACACTGATGCGATCCAACCTTCTTGTTTAGATGTCACCTGTACTCGTGTGTGTGTGTGTGTTGTGGTTTAATTTTAAAGTTGTTTATTTATTTATTTTTCTAAATGGCTTATTGAAAATTGCAACCACCAATTGAATTTAAATAAGGCAGTGGTTCTTACAATATTATTTTTTAGAGTCTCGAGAAGCTTCTTGGCTTCATTATCTTTACTTGTTCTTAAAAAGAAAGAAGCCAGTTCACAATTACAGCAGCTAATACATAGCATTTACTTTGGGCCCAGAATTACTTTGGGCATAACAGTATGGAACGCTTCACAAATTTGCATGTCACCTTGGCACCGAGGCCACACTAATCTTCTCTGTAGTGATCCAATTTTAGAATATGTGCTACCAAAGTGAGCACAAGTGTCACTTTAAAAGGAACCTTCCTTCTCTAAGTTTAGAATCATGCAATTCCGGATTTTGATCTATCTAGCTCAAACTCCCCACTTTACAAGTGAGTCCATTGAGGGCCAGACAGAATGTAGCATGACATTACTACAAATAAAACAGAGCAAGTGAAAACCTCCTCCCCGGAATCCATGATGAATGGTGTCCATTCTAAAGAAATGGTACTAGACATTTTAATTTATATTTAAAAGCCTATTTATACATGACCAATATAAGCAGGTATTTTTTTTTTACTACACTCTAGATGATAATACCTGTAAAAACTAACCCAGGGGGCTGGGGTTGTGGCTCAGTGGTAGAGCGCTTGCCTAGCGAGTGCGAGGTCCTGGGTTCAATCCTCAGCACCACATAAAAATAAAAATAAAATAAAGGTATTGACAACTACAACTAAAAAAATAAGTATTAAAAAAATAAAACTAACCCAAGGTACTGAGAATAAACTGGTAAATTTTCAGAGGTTCTGAACTATATTTTGTAAACTCTTTGATTAAAATACTAATCTACTGTCTATATCACAGACCTGCCAGCTATAGTGGAGAGGAGCATGCCAAGAAAGTATGTCCCCCTCATGGGGATGCAGGGACCCTGGGTTTGCTCTAGATGAAAATACCATGTTACGAGACTTCCCTTGGAGGACACAAAATGCACCTCAAACAAAGAGAAGAAAAGCATTTCTAGTGAAGACTTTGTTTTGAAAGAACATGTTAAACACCCAGAAAAATGACGCATGCCTCGTCCAGCCAAAAGCAGTCATCTCATAAATTCTTGACTCGTCAATAAAAATTAAAAGAGTGTTTGTCAACAGAGAAAAGGAAGTGGTGATGACTAGAACAAGTGAAGACAGATTGGCCTCATTTCCTTTAAACGGACCAGATTGGTAGATTAGAAGGGTGGTGGAGACATCCTGTGTCTAGATTTTTCGCAAGGCAATTATCAACACTTTGCGTGATTTTGATTGACACACTGAAGAAGTTTAGATCGGCTGATAATGCAAACAACAAAATAGTTAGACAACCCAAGGGATGGGTGCTGGTTAAACGGCTGAGGCTATTGCTGTAGGATACTTCTCCTAAAACATTTCCAATTATTTGGAAAAGGAGCTATATCTACATATATCTGATATGTGAGATATATCTCCTTACAGTTATCAAATTTTATTTACTTCCTACTGTATATCAGTAACATGGTTAGGTCCTTGCAAAGAAAAAAATATATAATATTTTGGGATAATGGGGTTAAACCCAGGGGCTTCACACATACTAGGCAAGTGCTCTACCACTGATCTACATCCCCAGCCCTTTTTATTTTATCGTGAGGCAGGGTCTCATTAAATTGCCCAGGCTGACCTTGAACTTGAAATCAGCCTCAGCCTCCCAAGTACCTAGGGTTACAGGCATGTGTCACTACATCACACCAATATAAGGTTTTTAAAATCAAGTTCCTCACTGTCTACAGGATTACAGAATCAGGATTCAAAATGAAGTATAATATGGATAAATGTAGCACTTAATCCACAAACACAACTACAATAATGAACAATATGTGCCCAATACATAGTAGATGTGCAACAAAAAATTAGCAAGTACATTGAATGAATAAAGGTACAAATTTTGAAGGAAAAATCAAACCCAGACCCTGGGGTTTCACATAACTGTGAGATCAGTGCAGGTCAGAGGTGCATGTCACAGGTGTCCACAAAGCAGCTGAGGTTGGATCTCAGAAATGTGGATGGCAAGGAAAGTCAGAGACAGATTCTGACATTCACTCTCCTGAGTTATTGCTCCATACCTGTAGCTCTTTTTTAAAAAATATTTTGTTTTAATTGTAGTTGGACACAATACTTTTATTTTATTTTTATGTGGTGCACAGGACCAAACCCAGCAACCCTCACGTGCATGCTAGGCGAGCCATCCACGGCTGAGCCCAGCCCCAGCCCCAGCCCCACACCTGTAGCTCTTGCTAGCACCAGAATATTTTGAAACATTTTAAAATAAAGAAAACAGGTGGACTTTTTTCTTCCCTTCCTGTCTCCTTTGCTTCCTTTCTCCCTCCCTCCTTCACCAACTTACATACTAATTTAAGAGGAATCTCACAGCTTTAGAAGGAAAAAAAAAAAAACAGAAAGAGGAGGTCTCCATCTATGTGAAGATCTGCGGGGTCAAGAGCAGTGCGTTTGTCCTTCATAGGTTCAGATGCTAGAGTCTGAACAGAGTGTGGCGGATTTCAACTCAATACAGGGGCACTTTTTTAACATTTAGGCTTACCTTTTTCTTTTTTTAAGTGAAATAGGTTCCAATAGGATGTCAACATTCCCTTCACAGGGATCCATCAGGGCTGAGTAACTCTGTAGAACGTGTACAGACTTGCTCAGATCCTTTTATTATACACTGTCATGGCAGCCCGTGCCTATGGCAATAATTTTATGATTACTATAATCATGTGAAATATGATTTTCCCTTCGACTGCAAGTTTCAAGAGAAGATGGGGCTACTATTTGTATTCACCCCGGTACAACCCCTAGCACATAGCATTTATTAATCAAAGAAAGGAAGGAGGGAAGAAGGAAGAAAGGAGAGGGAGGGAGGAAGGGGGAGGGATTAAAACACCAAAGGGAGTACTGGGCTAAATCTTCTAATCTGAAATTTCATGGTTACAAACAAAGCTCAAGTGTTGCGAATAAATCAGAGGGTCATAGTGAGCCCCTTCCCTACTGTTAGAAGGAGCTCTGGAAGGGAACTGATATATTCTACCTAATGTATCTCAGACCTTAGTGAGCCTCAAAATCCCCTAGACTTAATCCCAGCCCCAAAGTGACCCAGTGGGCCTGGGGTAGGGACCAAGAATCCACATATCTAACAAACTCCAGTGAGGCTAAGGCTGCAGGTCTAGGAACCCACTGAGAACCCTCCTCTGCCCAGCCTTAGGGAGTGATTCCCAAGCACCTCAGTCTCCCATGGTGCTGGTTATTAACACCATTCTCCACCTTGCCCCAGAGGTTCCGAGTCAGCAGGTCTTGGATGTGACCCAGGAATCTGCAACTCAGCAAGCTCTCCAGGTGATTCTGTGGCAGGTGGTTTAAGGACCACAGTGTGGAGAGAAAATAACCTAGAGGAGAAGACTGGACCTTTGAATGGTTAGGCTCTTGATGACCTTGCTCCCCCATTAATAGGTTAGGAAATGTCCCTTTTACCAATGCCCACCCGCTTTACACCAATGTACCTAATTCAAAGCGATGCTTAAAAATAATGTTATGATGAGCTTTGTTAAAAAAGTATGTGGGTAAAGAGTCGACCTTTTTCACCAGTTCCACACAGCATTCCAAACAACCAGAGCTCTGCCCACGGAGGAGAACCGCCCTCCTACCTTGAAGCCCTCATCACCAGACATCAGTCCTCAGCTGTAACCCTGGTTGATCTCTTTTCCCCTTTTGAATACTTACTTAGTGGCTCTGTGATCTGCATCTTGAATGTGACAGCCTCTTCTCTAGCATAAATGATCTTAGTTCCCTTTACCTTAAGTTTTTTTTTTTTTTCCCCACCAAAGGCTTATAAAAATTAAAATGACCTATGCTCTAGTTTCTCCCAAAAAGTAAGGCTATTGCATAACTTGCTTCTTTCTGAATACCAGGAAAATACTCTGTGCCCTGAAGCTGTGATTCATGGAAGTCCTCCACGAGCCTTTGATAATCTATTGTCCTTTGTGCCTCCGCTACCTGGGCAGAACCAGGCGGACAGGAATAACGACTCCATCAGAGGCTTTATCTGAGCAGATTTGTTTTCTAAGACAGTGAGTGCAGAACTCTCTCCCAGTCCTCTAATAGCTATCTGAGGAGATGCTACTGAAACGTATTCAGGAGAGAAAAAAAGATGACACTCAAAAACTTCAGAAAAACAAATGAAAACTATCTAATTCCCTGTTTAAAATGTGAGTTGAAAAGCATCTACCATGTAAAGTTTAAAAGGTAGCTGTGGCAACGCACAGGCCCGGTTATCTTTCAGTGACATTGTGGGGAGTGGTGTGGCTTACCCCTGCAGGCAAGACTGCACCACACAACCCGGCACAATTAAAGCAGGCCCGAGTTTTCAAAAGAGGAAGATACTCCTCTGGTCACAGACTGCTCCTTTGTTTAAAAATTTTATTATTATTATTATTTTGTAGTTACAGATGGACAGAATGTCTTTATTTATTTATTTATTTATTTTTACTTTTATGTGGCGCTAAGGATTTAACCCAGTGCCTCACATGTGCTAAGCAAGCGCTCTGCCACTGAGCCCCAGCCCCAGCCCTGGTCCTTCATTTTTTGATAGTTTTCTTTTATTCCTGGAATAGGGGACAGTGTGTGGTCTTGACACACAGAAGTGTTAGAGAATTTCTTCCTGGCTGGTTCTATGGGTGACTCTACCATCTGAACGCAGAACCCAGAGTTCATCTTACCCACATTCATGACAGCACACTTTTGTAAGTAAAGACAGATGACAAAATGACCCAGCCAGGTTTTACACTAGAGAATAAATCACTGGCGGCAACAGGCGTCCCTTCTCCATATCCATTACCAGATGGCACCTACAGGGCACAGCACTAATGATGCTGTCTGGGGATCTCCCACTCATCGTCACCACCAGTGGTGGATGACAGCATCAACCTTGAACTTGTCAAGAGATTTTACAGTTTACATTAACTCATTTGATTCATACAGCAATTTTCATGAGACAAGTTAACCAGAGGTAATCATTCCAGGTAAAAAAGGGGAAAACTGAAAACAAAGAAGTTCATGCCATTGCTCAAGGTCAAGAAATTAATTTTATTAGTTTACCAATATGAATAAAAATAATTAAAAAAAATAAATTTCTTGTCTGATATAGACTCAACTTTTAAAAACAGCTAACCTTACTTTAAACTTCTTAACTCCAGCAGTCTATTGTCTAGGGTAACATAACTCACTTTCCTTATTTG